TTCTTACACTAGCACTGCTCGTTAGGTTAATAATTTATTTTCGGAAGAGCCGGCTAACGGGATACACTAATTACGAATTGAAAGCTTTGTTGAATCTGAACAAGCGCTCGAACAAAAACAAATCAACACGAGTGGATAAAACAGGTTGATTGCACGCCTGTCTGCAAGAATGTGCATGAGCTGAAATTTTGGTGGGAAGAACTGGGGCTGACATCGCAGAGCTTTTCGATCCCAAATGCCGAATACTTTTGCGGCTTTTGCGGCTCACTGGTCGATTCTTCCCGCACTTACTAATGGTTCTGCGCGCATGTCGGCTGAAGGTTAATCTACCGTAAACAGTCTTCGGGTGACATACTATAGTCGTATACTTATCCTGTCATTTACCTATCTCCCAGCAGAGGGTAGCCAACCGGGATTCCCGCAGTGCTAATTTTGATGCCGTTATTCAAGCTGAGTGTGCGTATGCAGAAACCTGCTGTTGCAACTTTGATAAGCGAAGTGTAGCAGAAAAGTGGAGTCTTTTCAGGAACCTAGTTTCTGATCTCACTAATGCGCACGTTCCCCTACGACGCATTCGGAAAAACACTAAAAAGCCGTCGTATAACACGCGCCCGAAACGATTGTCTAATAGGAAAAAAGCGACTTTTTCGCGCAGCCTATTTGCAAAATACTACAGATCGCTGTGAAGCATTTCACAGTGCTGATACAGAATACACGGATGCTGCTAAGAGTCGTTTCCGAACCCACACATTGCCCGAGATTTTGTCACGGAACCCTTGAGAATTTTGGAACATGATCAATTACAGCCGAAACACAGATTCAACAGTCCACAATGAATCTGGGAAACCGCTACCAGCATCTGATTGTGCCACGTTAACTGACAATATTTTTTCCACAAACTTTTCGGGGAACATTGCTCCACTTGCTGGTGAAGTTGTGCTCCGCGACTACACTGCTCAATGTTTCCTATCACTTTTGATTCTGCCGGAATCGCCAATCTAATTAATGCCTTAGAAAGATCCTCATTATGTGGCACGGACAATATCAACTAAAAGTTTCTTAATCAGACATGCGCATATTATTCTCTCTTTTTACGAGACTTTCCAGCAGTCTCTTGACTGAAGAACTTTGACTCGGGACTGGAAGGTGAGTACTGTTGTTCCGATACGCAAGTCTGGTAATAAGCATTTGTAACTATCGGCCCATTTCACTAACAAACATTCCGTGTAAGCTAGTGGAACATGTAGTACACTCACATATAGATAAATTTTTAGAATCCAATTCATTTTTTACATTAGCCATAAATATGCTCACCATTCTTCATAAACTATCTCGAATGTACTGCATCTTCCTATATTTTACAAATCAGACGATGAACAGCTGAAGTGCCTCAGACTGGCTGGCCGACGTTTCGATAGGAAGACATATCTTTGAAAAAGATTGGTCCCCCTATCGAAACGTCGGCCAGCCAGTCTGAGGCACTTCACATGTTCGTCTTATGATTATCCCACTACGTTGTTTTCATCTGTCGGCTCCCATCAAGATTTTAGATTTTACAAAGGCATTCGAAAAAGTCAACCACGCTTTTCTAATGTCTGGGCTGCATCTTCCTAGATTTTACAAAGGCGTTTGAAAAAGTCAACCACGCTTTGCTACAAGCTTTACTCTCACAACCTCGACTCTAATGTTTTGGCATGGCTTGATTATTCTCTCAAAAAAGTATCTAGTACGTGACTGTTAACGGTGTCCTGACTCGCCATAAATAAGCGTAACATCGGTTGTACCACAGGATTTTCGGACCACTGCTGTTTTTAACTATTAATGACCTATCTGACTTCGTCTCTACTTTTGTGCATTTGTATGCCGACGACTGTGTAATTTACAGAGAAATACATGCCGATAATGATGAAAACAACTTGCAGACAGACTTAAATGGCATTATAATTTGGTGCGATAAATGCCTCATGAAATTAAATTACATCGAATGCAAGCCAATGACTGTTTCTAGGCAGTATAATAACTCGTCAGCCTACAAACTCGGTGACGCTCATCTTGAACATGTGTCGTCACATCGGTGCTTAGACGTCGCTATTTCTTTCAATCTAACATGGAATGCTCATATTAATGTCATCGCGAGCAATGCCAACCGTACACACGTCGTTATTTTTTGTCAAAGCTACACCCTCCCTCAAAATGCGTCTATATAAAGGTCTTGTGCGCTCAGATTGAGAATACGCTGCTCCAATCTGGAACCCTCGCCACGAAAACTTAATTAAATCTCTAGAACCAATTCAAAATCAAGCCATACGCGCGCTTTATTCTCTCTGATTATAACCGTGTATACTTCAAGCGTAAGAGCAATGAGGAACCATTTGTCACTGCCAGCTTTATCGCTACGTCGCAAGGATTTCCGTCTTTGCCTTTTTTTCGTAAGAAATACCATCATCCATCACTACGTGTTGAGCTTGTTACGCCTTCCACTTATCATTCATCGCTAATTGATCACAATCACTCGGTTAAAGGTACTTTTTGCAACACAACACATTTTCTTGCTCCTTCATACCGGTTACGTCTAACGATTGGAACGAACTACACCAGGTGACATCGTTTCCATCTCTGCTCACTGCCTTTTCTGTCGTTCATCATCAGCCCACCTGCTTCGAGATAGCTCTCCCTAGTCACCCGATGTGTTCCCCCTTCCGACAGCTTTCTTTTTGACGCGTGTCGAGATGCCAGCATTTTATTTATTTCTGTTTTTTTCTGACTTTTTGCAGAATTTTTGTTACGTTCATATTTTGCCGCCAGCACTGTAAAATGTTACCGCGTTTTTTGTGTTTATTTTTAATGTTCACGTTTAGGTTTTGTTGTGTTTCATCGAGTAGAGATTTTAACTTGTTTAGTTTTCTTTCTTGTGTAATATGGCAGGTTTTATTTCTTTGTTTTGAATTTTTTGAATTTTTATATGTTGTAACCCGCTCCCCGCTGTAATGATTAGGTGGTTGAGGGCAACAAAAATAAATAAATAAATAAATAAATGAAAATTGCTGTCTGGTGTTCTCTTTCAGGAGATAGCGAACGTAGATGAGACGTGCCGTGATATCCATGAGCCGTTTAGCGTAGTCATGCAGCTGAAGCGTCTGTCCACGAAAGTGAAATAATAAATTTGCATGCGGTTTGTGACACGTGAAGCACGCTTCATCGCCTCGGTTCCCCTTAAAGCGTTATTACCTTATCCGAGCCGAGTTTGTATGATGGCAGCATCGGTGTTGGAATTGTGGGGCTATGATCACCTACTGCTGCGCGGTGCCGTGGCTAGTGCTGGTGTTAAGTGTTAAAACCTGCTGGATTTTCAAAACGTCGGTCGGTAATGATGGCTGCCTACACCTTGGCAACAGATTTCTGTGGCAGCACAGCTAAGTCACTTTTACTGTGCATGTGCATGCATTCAGCGAATACTTTTGTTCGCCGAGTAACATAAAATAAAATATGAAATAAATAGGTATTATATTCAAAAATAGTTTGCAGTGCAGTATTGAAAGCTTACCTCGCGTGAAGGGTTTTCGTTTTTTACCTGTTCTAGTTTGCTGGTTTTCTGTCGTCGATTTCGCCCTCTCCCGCCTTTGCAGCAGGTGCACACTGAAGCTTGTAAGCCAGCATGAGCGCGTGTACGTTTGATGATCTGTATTAATCGAAGAGAAAGAAACCAAGATCGTAGGTTGGCGAACTCATTCATGAGTACTCACTCAGACTCAGATGAAGGCGTAAGTCTGAGTGAGTCCGTTTGAATAAAATTTCTCTGAGTGTGAGTTCGAGTCAGTCCAAAGCGCAAGCGATATTACTTAAGTAAGTCTGAGTGACTTCCACTTTTATTTTGCGAACCTGGTGTCTGATGTACTCATTTTCAGCTTTACTATCAGCCTTACTTAGATTAACTTTTGTACTCGCGTTTATTGAAACGTATTCCCAAGCAGTGTCGTTCCTACACCATTACAATATTTATTGATATGAGGCGTGAATTACGTAAGGGGTTGGTTTGACGTCCCCCCCCCCCTTTCTGCCAACTATTCCAAGAAAGTTGTTGATAAATTTGTCTTACGTAGTCATGGCAAGTTGGTTTATCATGGTGACAGCCCACGCAAAGGTGACGCCAGTGACCTGCCTTTGGACCTCAAGAACAGCTAGTTGAAAGCAAAACTGCGCTTGGGAATATATAGTACGTCTGTGGGGAGACTACTTCAGTGGTTCTCGTGTTTATTTAGGGAAGATCTGAATTGCGAGCTCACCAGACAGTTGCAGTGAAATCGTGAAATTCTTTCGGCATCTATTCATTGACCGGGTCATTCGTGTATATATATATATATATATATATATATATATATATATATATATATATATATATATATATATACGCCGCAGCCGGAACCGGAATCGAACCCGTGACCTTCCTGTCAGCAGTCCAGCAGCGTAACCACTAATCCACCGTGGCGTACTCTTACGTTATGCCGAGTGTCCGAATTCGCTGAGATATATGCTTTGAAACTACTTTTGTATAAGTGAATTCTTGTAAATAAAGGTGTGGGAAAAGAGTTAGGGGATTGAGGGGGAGGGGGATAATGATCTATGGCATGAAAAAGGAGGACAGACATGCGATGTCAATGCTTAGCTCCTATTTTTTCCGTGTTCTTTTTTTTTTTGCCACTGTTGCGAATATCATTGGCAAATGTGTGATGCCCGAGTTATTTTAAAGGTAATATATGTTGTAAAAAGTGGTTCATACAAACTTCATCGTGAAGTAATGTTGGTACGTTATTGCGAACAGTGCGTGGAACAGCTGCAGAAGCAGCTTTTACACAGGGACAAACAGCCTCGTCCGCCTCGGAAACATGTACCAGTGCATTTTGTTGTTGGCCCACGGGCCGTTGTTTTTGTCGCTTCTTGCTCGGCGCGAGCGTGGTCTGTCCATCGGGAGTCGGGCGGTTGATGGAACTGTTTGCACGCAGGCATCTGATGGAGAACGAGATACACACGGTGCATCGGGGGGCCTTCGCCGACCTCACGTCCATGGAGCGGCTGTAAGTATATCGATCCGCAGGCGCTTCCTTTTAGGAGGCGTCCCCAAAGCGTCGTTTGAGTCGAAATGCCGCGAGACGCTGCACCATCGTATCGCCCTTTGCGGCGTCCCAGCACCCAGCGTCACAGTTGGGCCCCAGAGGCCGCGTAATGATCGACGCAGTAAGAGCGTACTAAATGATGTTAGTGGGACTTTTTCATGCGTGCCTGTTTCACCTCGATATTACTCCTCTCTCTGGAGCGTCGGGTAGCGTACTAGCTTTTCTAGACTTAACTGTTAATATCCCTGCGTTTTCATCCTCTCCTGCTCCTTCACGCGCGATATGCCGTGAGCTGATCGTAATTAACGGCACTACCGACTTCACTCGTGAATTTCATCACTCTGCCAAACGCCGACAAAAAGGAACGCACAGCAGAAATATGAAATGAGTACTGACGCGCATTTTAGAAATTTTTGTGTCTGCTCCAAATGAAAAACACTGGTGTCGACAACCCTAAAAGCGTATCGCGATGTCCTAGGACTTGTTGGATACACTTTTAACACACACACACGCAAACACACATGCACGTGCACACACGCACGCACACAGACACGCACACACACGTGCACACACACGCACAGGCGCACGCATACATACGCACTCACTCACACGCACACAAACACACGCACACAGATATGCACACACCACACACACACACACACACACACACACACACACACACACACACACACACACACACACACACACACACACACACACACACACACACACACACACACACACACACGCACACACACGCGCGCACACACACGCGCACGCACACACACACACACACACACACACACACACACAAACACACACACACGCATGCGCTCGCGGCATTCAACTATTTTTTATTTTGTGGGCAACTTAGTGGATATAGGCAATAATGACCGAAACTGTTCTGGCCCATCCCCTGGAATTCCGCATGTTCCGTGGAGCATCCCTTGACGCATTCTTGTTCCTTGCAGCACACGCTTGGCAAATGCTGTCCTAACATACAAAGGAAAAAAAACGCAGCTTTAGTGAGGTGTTCAGGCTGCCTATTAAATCTCGACACAACTTATATAAACAAAAAAAGCTTTTATTCGCTTTTGTAGTAGTGTTGTATATACAGGTACCCAATAAGACCCCAGAAGAAATATTCCGGGACGAGCCAAACTTTCGCAACTTCTACCTTCAAGTGATACGTAGAAACGGGGGCCGCCACCAGCATTTATAAAGCTGGAGTCCGCCCAATAGCAGACTTCTCAGACTCACCAGTGCCATCATTGTCCGCGTACCTAGACCGAATAATTTTAGTTCTGACGAGATTTACGACGTCTTATGTGCGCAACGCGGAGGAATTCGTCGGGCTGACTTCCAGATTACGATGATTTCGGCCTTTCAAATATGTATTTTTCCTTTAAGGGCCAGGTAAAAAAAGCACGAGTGGGAGCCTCAATTACAGAGACCATGCATGACCAGAGAAAACGTCGAAAACCGAGCTCCCGTCACTACTGTACCAATGCCTAAGTCTCCCTACCTACGTGGGCGCTTGTTTCGGCATTATAATGACATCGGAAGTCACCAGCCTATTTAGCCTCCTAAGCTCCTTAGAACCGGACAGTCAATTTGCCGAGCGCGGTGAAAACGGATGCGTTGGGGGTCACAAATAGGTAGTAGTCAAAACATTAATAAAAACGGAAGCGCATTACGTATGGGCATCCGACAGCAGAAAAAAAAAAAACACCATTTTCATTGAACGGTCTTATTTCGCGCCGTTTTATTCAGAATTCAATCGGGCAGCAAAAAAAAAAAAAGAAAAAAAATCTTTCTCGCCTATATGAAAGGCACTGGTGAAGCCATCAGCAGGAAGGCGTAACGGTCGCACGCAAGCCATCCAACAAATTAAATCTTCTGCCGAAACCCAATGAGTGTCCACCGAGAGAGACAGCGCAAGGCGTCGTCCATAAAATCAAATGTTCCGGCTGACAGGCCACACACATTGCAAAACAAAACAAAAAAACTTGACTGAAAGAATCAAGCAGCACAAGAACAACGTCAAGACGTTCTCAAGATAACGAAATCCCCTTGCAGAACACTCGGGATGTGTAGACCATACGGTTGCCTTTCAAAGAACCTAAATCGAAACAACAGAGACTTACAAACTAAAGTGACTGTTGCTGGAGTCGTGGTTCATTGAGAGCACCGAATACAACTTGAACGGTCGGAAAGGAAAGCTGTCGTCAGTTAACAATCACGGCCTAACCGCAGCAAGAAAAGCGAGGCAAAACTCCGGCCACCCATCAGTCCCACGCAACCGCAGACGCGTGTTCTTCCTCCAGTTCAGCGAAAGAAGTTCCGCTGTCACTTCCCCTGAAAAAGAAATCGAGTTGATTCTGAAACGTCGGGAAATAAACCAACTTGTAGGTTGGAGTCTTTTAAAGTCCTAAATAAACCAGACAAAAAAAATCATGTAAAAAAAAATGTTCGACTTTAAGCGCGTACACTGCGCATACACTGCGCGTAATCTCAGGTGGATACTTATATACTTGGAGCATTTGGGCCTTCCAATTCGCTTGTCTTTCGCCGATTGTCGTTCGCCCTGTGTGATTTTATCGCGTTATTTCACCGTCTAACTGATGGCTGCTTTCTTTAGAGTTATGACGTTCGACAGCAATGTATAAGCTGCAATGAAACGCTCTGTAGTTTTCGATTACAGATGCTCTAATAGTGAATTCTATTGAGAGAACAGAAGCACTGAAACTGATGGCTGCTTTCTTTAGAGTTATGACGTTCGACAGCAATGTATAAGCTGCAATGAAACGCTCTGTAGTTTTCGATTACAGATGCTCTAATAGTGAATTCTATTGAGAGAACAGAAGCACTGAAAATTACGCTGAAAGTGCCCTGTTCAGAACCGGGGTGTTTGAGTAGTCCAACACAAGAAATTACATTCAGCAGTAAAAAGAAAATAAGAACTTCCTGAATAATATTTTTGTCAGCCGAGTGTCTCCATGTAATGGCGTTTGGCCTGACGATGTCAATAACAGCGGCTTTTGAAAACACAAGCATTTTAAGAACTCTAACGTGCTTTCAGGAATTGTGAACTGCAATAGTAAGCTATTATGTTGCCTTTTAATTGAGTTTGTTCTTGTCTTTTACAACATTTCAACCTGCCACAGCCGTGCCTCCTCTATTTTATCAATGCCAGCCAGATGCGCTGATGCAGCTCTTCACCACTATCTCCTCTAGCTCTTTCCCACTATCTCCCATCGCCTAGCCTTCGCGTGTGCTTTGTGGTAATGGGGGAGAGAACCCTTCATGCAATGCCTCGCGATGAAAATCATATGAAGTAATTTTTTATTCAGTTGTGCGCAAATTCGTGGGGTGGCGTCTTGCATTCCTTGCGTTCACAGTGTTGGTGGTCATGCTGGCCCTGTAAAAGGTACGATGTTTTGAGTTAGCGTGTCGCCATTCGTGGTGCTATGCGGGCAACCAACCAAAGGGGAAGCGTCAACGCTATGTACTGCACGTGCTGCGCCTTTATGCGTTGGCGGCATTGCTTCGAGCCACAAAGAAGGAGCGCGAAAGAACAAATATGACTGACGTATGATAATAAAGTGGGACATACGTCAATCGCATCTCCGGGGGAAAGCACTCGCAAGCATGTGTGACGCAAGCAGCGCTACACATCATGTATCGTCGCATCACAACCACTCCCTGAACTAAAGCGGACCGACGGCTTCCATTGAAGAGCACGCGTTTGCACTGGCATTGAAAGAAATAAAGGAGGCGTTGACCACAGTAACTTGAATAAGAAGCCTAGAACACGACAAACTGCCTGTCATGTCGAAACCTTGCGATTCCGAAGTGAATTTCTGCATAGTGCAACAGAGAAATTACGTGCTTTCTGTTAGATGTCATGTATAAAACACTTTTGACACTGTAGATGCTATTTTAAATACCTTATGTGCGTTGCACTAAATGAGCTTTGGCGTCGAGAGTACAAATTTCTCAGTGAAATGAGTTCTAGCGAAGGCATTAGTTTACGAATGGCATTAAAGCTAATAATGCCCTTTCGTGTTGCACGGACATAAGAGCACTGTCATGCAGTGGTAAAACGCTTTTGCTGCGCCGAGAGCAGTGCAGAAAAAAGCGCGCGGTGCGGACAGAAGAGACGGAGAAGAAGGGTAGTGGCGAGATGTTTGTTAGTGCTTGGACTGTTCGAACGTGTACGTCATGTTGTGGATGGCACTGCGCCGAGCGCTAATGAAGACTACAGAGAGATTTTCCCACAAGCAGTTTGTATACTGCTTCCGCCGCCTGATAATTAAGCGGAGTAGGCGCAGAGCGATGAGTCACGCCACTTTAAAACGTCACATATTTCTTTTCATTTAGCTTCAGCCGGCAAGCCCGGTGGCAGTGGTGGCAACTATGCGTAGTTTGGATCTACTGATGTTGACCGCGCCGTTTGTATAGGGGTGTCGACTATGACGGCTGGGAAAAGTGCGTCTGCCGGATGCGTCTTTGCACGAACGTAGTTTCTAACCGTGAGCTAGGATAACCGCGAACCTGCGACTGACAGATTTAAGGCGCATTTTGCTTCTCTCGTGTATAGAGAATGCCGGGGCTTGGAATGTTTTGATCAGGCGGTATATTTCTCCCCGCCTGCTCCCCGGAAGCGGGCCGTACTGGCAGATCGAGTGCACCTGCTCTCAGTGCTCTTACTCCACTCCCCACTGCACCACCCCTCCACTATTCTCTCGAGAAAATTCGCCATAAGCTTAGCGAAAAAGTGCGTGCATGTTTTGTCGGGCTGAGTACGTGAGTGAGACTTGAATGTCTTTCAGCTTTCTGCTTCTGAAAGTGTATAGCCACGAAGCAAAGTAGGGCCATGGAGTGATTGCTCACTTCTCGGTATATTGCGAATGGCGCTCGGATGAGGCGGTACTTTTGATTGGAATGTCAGCTTTCGCGATGTGTTTTCTCTTTATTCGCTGCCTTTGCAGGCGCCTGAATAACAACAAGCTGAGAAGCCTGCCGGAGACGCTCTTCGCGACGATGGTCAACCTACAGCGCCTGTAAGTTGAACGAGTTCTTCGCTCTTGGTGTTTTGAACGTTTGTGACGCGTACGTGCTACTACAAGCACACGCCTCCTGGGGCCGGTTGATTCGCTCTCACCTGACGCGTGCATGAGTGGGGTCCGTAGACGGTGCATCCTTCCTTATAGTGCGCATTATCGATCATGCTGTCCTGTAACAAGCGTTGAAAGCTGGAAGAGTTGGTATTTAGCTAACTGCACCGCAGACAAAACGTAAGGAAGGAACTAAATGAGACAGACGAGCGCAAATTCGCAACTGACTTATTGGCAACGTAATTGACACTAAGCAGTGTCCAACACACACACACACACACACACACACACACACACACACACACACACACACACACACACACACACACACACACACGCACACACGCACACACACACACACACACACACACACACACACACACACACACACACACACACACACACACACACACACACACACACACACACAATTTAAACAGATGCACGTGTAAGGTCAGGTAAGTCAAATGTCAACAGTACCATGTAGATGTCAGATATGTATTCTCTTTGTGTGATAGACTTAAGGTTCACGGACGCACCCTTCTCCCTTTCTTCAAATGCGGAAAGCTTACATTATTATCTACCCAACGCGTCTGGTATACCTAGAAATCGCGTTTGAATCTTGAAAAAAGCAGGCTTGCAACATCACTTCCAGCAGTGCGCTGGCAAATGCAAACCCGGGAACTTGGATAAATCAGTTGTGAGTCGGCGCATTCGTTCCTTCCTTGTGTCCCGTCTGCGGCGTATTCGCAGGTTCGCTCCCTGCCTACGGCAAGTTACCTTTTCGTCCACTTTTCTTTGTTCACATTTGCGTTACAATCAGTTCTAATGACATCCCCTATACTTTCCTTAGCTATATTGTTAGATCTCATATTGTATCTAAGGCAGGAGAGCGTCATCCACACTTGCTTGAAACAGTGCTGTTCGTCAACTGGCCTCGAATGCTAGAGCAAGCTATCGCTCAGGCCGACCTCTTTGCCTTTCTGAAAATAAACCTTGAAATGCGCTTCGGGTGCACAAGTTTTTTACAGCTTTGTACAGTATTATAATTATACGGAGCACTCTTTTGGTTTCTGTGGCATATAGTCTGCCTGTGCTAACCCACGCTTGCTAGACGAAAATTCGTGCTTTGTAGACTGCACCAGCTCAGTCACTAAGTTTGCCGCCTTGGTCTGACATCAACAGAGGTGACTATAAAGCCGGGGACCAACTGATACATTCACGCACTCTGGTGGAAGTTTTGAGAGCTCACGTGCCAGACATTTTGCTTGAAGCTTGTACCGGCAGCAGAGGCCACTCTGTTATGCCGGCTATGGATACGAGTGGCTTTCACAAAGCCATTTTCGCATGTCATAGGGAGGGCCGACAATGCGCTTTGCGACGTCTGCAGTGTCGAGAAGACTTCCGCGACTGTTCTCGCTCGCGATCTTTTGCCTTGACCGATGTCGTTAGCTACTATATTCGGATCTCATTCTGAAAAGTAATCGACAATTGAAGCAACTTAGGCAGTGTTAAAACTTCTAAGAAAAACGATTGCATAAGCCACTGTAGAGACCCATATTGATGCCGTATTCCCGTATGCCACAAAAACAGCCGCTCATTGACGTCTGCCTTCTCTCTTCCTTACATTCCCTGCTTTTCTTTCAAACTTCCCTATCTCTTTTTCATGTGCAGGGCGTCGATCAAAGTAAGAATATACTCTTAAAAAACGTTAGTATGTTCTTTAACTCTTCCGCTACCTCGCGAAAATGATTGTTTTTCATATGTCTTGGCAAGATCGTTCTTGACAGTTTCGAAAGTAATACAGCAAGCATTACAGCAGGCCAAGCTTTGCACAATTCTTTCCAAAAATACATGTTTTAGAGCAACAAAACTATTTTAGAATGAATTGAAATGGCCAAAGTGTGGAACGATTGGTCGCCTGCTGGTAAACAGTGCAATAAAGAACACTCTATATACAAAAATATTTAAAAGAAAAATCAGAATATAAATTTTGTAGATAAATGATCCAGCAATATTAGAAAACTAAAAAAAAATGTTTCAAAATGTTTAAGAAATGTTTTCACATAGACAAAGACAATCAGAACCGAGGTGCTTCTTCGTTGCTCGGGCCACGTGGTGAAGCATTGCATGGTTTTTCGTGAGACAGAAGTTCACTGGTACACTTAGTAAATTTTTGTGTTCTTGCGATAAGAGTCTACAGGTGTTCCAATATAGATGGATACCCTTGATACGGATAATCCATCTATAAATGAGATTTTCAATGAACTTCGCTATTTCATCTAGCGTCACCTTTTTCCATGAGTCACCTCATTGCGCATAGGCGGGCATTCCAATATATGCATCCAAGCATATTTGCATTTTCGTGCAAATCATTATAAAAAAAGAGCAATCTCGCGTGCAGCTCGAAAAGGTTTCGCACTGCTCCGTAGTCGGGGACAAGGTGTGCTCTGGAGGCCTTCTTGTCCTTAGGAGAGGCTGTGCAGCCAGTGCCCCCACACCGCGCCCTAGCGGAGTGTGGACCACGCACGTAATCAGAGTATATTTATGATTTTATGGTCAGAAGCTACACGCACTTGCGGCGAAGGAGAAAACTTGAGGATGTAAACAAAACAAACCCACGAACGGCTGCGGAGTTCTCCGGCTGACGCAAAACATCGTCGCCATAAAACTTGAAGCTGAGGTGCTGTCATCCACGATCTCTAAACTCGTCCTTTCTCAACTCAGGTGGGGTTGCAAGACAGTTTCGAGCAGCGCATGTGTTTTGCAGCGGTGGTGCACACCCATGCATGCGCGCGTGATGACGATGTCATAGGAGCCACACGTGACACTAGATGCGACCCTGTGTCTGATATAACGGTGCAAACCAAAGCTGCTGAAAACTCTCGAAGAAGGCCACCTAGACATCTCAAACACGCGGCGTACCTTCGTAAATATTTTTGTAGGACAAATTTTCCCCGACTCCTAGGAACAGCTCTCTCATGCAAATCTGACATAAATTTCTGGCCGTTATGACTGCTCAACATCGTTATATTGCGAAACAGACATTTTAATCGAATATTTGGCTTGCAAAGGTTCTTTTCATTACAGAAATTCTTTGTTACTGTAGCATAGTCACAAAGGGCACGCACTTCTGTCAAGTTCGCCAGCCTAGTGCACTCTTCCAACAATACACGCACATTGGTTCGCGCGAAGGTCTGTCAAAAACCACTATGTAGCCGAAACTGGCAAATTCCAATTGATTCTGAAAATGAAATGACTGGACTAACAACTAGAAATTGCTGGGTGCACGAGGAACAAAGTTAACATGTTGAAATCGATGATCCAAAAGCGTCGATCACCAGTGATCGATCTGAATAGGTGTGGTAGCGAAATAGCTAAATGACGAAACGATTGTCTTTAAAATATATTTTTACTTTGGTCAGCGTTGTGTTTCCTTCGGCCATCGCTTTCCCCGGCCAGGCGGGTGTCCGCTGAGCCCTCGACTTCGTTAACACATCTGCAGTTTCTCACAGTAGAAAAACATCTGATTAACCAACAAAGTGTACGAGCCGAAAGCAGGCATGCAACACGACCGCGTGCCAAGCTGTGGCACTAAACAAATAATAATAATAATAATAATAATAATAATAATAATAATAATAATAATAATAATACAGATGATGACGTCTAGCCATTTATGCTGGAAATGCGGCCATGTTTAGCGGGATTTCCCCACCCGAACAGCAGCAGGTGTGCCTTTCGCAATGTCGAAGTCTGCAAACAGCTCGGGAGCGCCGCCTCGCCGGCTGCGCGTGTCAGGCGCCGAAGGGGGCGGTGATCCCGCTGGCGCGGGAAGTCGTGGGCCGGCGGCGTTTTTTCCCCCGCGGGAAAACGGGCCGGCCTGGATTGCCCGGCCGAGCAAACATAAGCCCGGTCGGATCTGCAGAGGATTACACCGCCGGGGTCGTGGGAGCCCTTCCTCTGTTTGCCCTTCATTCCCGCTCGTTTGCTTCCTCCCGGCGGCCATAAGCTATGCGGGACCTGTTGAAGACAGGCTGACGTCACTGTAATGGCGGCGCTTGTCTCGGTAGCTGTCACTTTAATTGAGATGCAGCTTGTTGCCGGCTCTAAGGCTGCGACGAAGAGCCGCAGGCTTCACTGTGTGCGTGGATTTGGCTAGTGCATCGGTTGATAACTCTCGAACGCTTTCTTTAATGTAGCTGGAACTTCGAATAGGCTCGTGACGTTCCAGCGCATTTCCGCCTTTTACCGCTCGTGTTACATTGTACGCGCATGTTGGCTGGAATGTATGTTACGCTGATATATATGTTACGCTGGAATATATGTTACGCTGAGCTTCTTGCAGGAGGGAAATGAAAAAAAAAACTGCTTTATTGTGGGTGAGCTTCTGCTTTGATAGCTAAGATTTGCAAGCGTTAATGACGTGTAGTCGACATTTGCTCTGTGTACACAAAATCGATAAAAATTTCGCATGTGAAGGCGCTGCTCGAGCAAAAACGGAAGCATTGTTATCCATGCTACGGGTTGTATATAGCCAATATAATATGTATAAAAAAATGGCTCCAATCTACGATATGAAGGCGTTTGGACAGCAAAGCTGTGGACTATACCGAGAACAATTAGCCATTGCGACGTCGGTTAAATGGTATTCGGCATTATATTATCGTGCGTGAGTGACATTGGCGTCTTAACTTCAGCGGGAAGGATGGCCACGGTGTGCGTCAAATTTTTGAAACCGGTTAAGCATGTTTCTTCGCATGCAGCTGTTTATAGACTCGACGCGTTCATAGCGATGTCGCATTTCTTGAAGCTATCCACGTCGTCCACGTCCAGCAGAGTGACACCGCAGTGGTGCGACAGTGGCAGCTGAATGACGCTGCGGTTAAGGGCTGGAATACGTGCGGCGTTAAACCGGCGTCCGTGCGACGAATGCTCGAAGCACG